CATTCGACTGCTCTGCTATTTCACTTCAAAGTCGTGTAGGTTTCGTGTAGGCTTCGCGTAGGTTTCGAAACGTCCTGGCCGGCAGCTGAGAAAGGACAAAAGTTAAAGGAAGACGTAGGGCGTGCATAAAATATGCACTTAAGGCGTCGTAGACTGCCAGGCGGCAGGAGGAACCGCTGGAAAACGGAAAGGGGATGAACGGAAGGACAAGAGAGAGAAAAGTGATGCCGACGAAGATGAAGAAAAGGTTAAAAATGGAGAGGTAAGGGATGGACGTTTAAGGAGCATGGAAACGTAGAATGGTGGAGAGGCTGGGTAGAAAGAAAGAGAAAGTCGTAGACACAGGGCAAGAAAAAAGGTGAGAAGGGGATCGAGAAATCAAGAGAAAGTCTAGCACATATAAAATAAATGGAGTAGAGGAGGAAATTGGGTGAACACTGGTCGGGGAGAGTTGTGTAATGCGATGTGTAGACAAGGCCACAGAGAAAAAATCTCCGCCCCCTTCGGTAGAAAAAAGGCCTTTGCGTGCCTATATAAAAAGAACCTATATGGGTATGTTATTACATTCTATCTATTATACATTAAAAAAGACGGTATCTCTTTCGGTATTCAACTGTTCACGTCGGTTCTTAGTTCTATTTCCCGAAATCTCAGAAAGTGACATAATTCACGCTGTGGCACGCGCGAATTTTTAAAGTAAGGTAAGTGATGAAAATATGGTCAAGTAGCGGCTATGGTGTTAACTGGAATTATTTTCGATTGATTGTGCTAACATGCAGACTGGGAGATGGTAAAAAGTGCGTTAACACCCTACCAGACTTGATTCGCGCATTCGCACTCTGGAGCCTCCATTGACAAGAACGCGCTGAAGGCGCTCTGTCCTTATAACTTCTTATTTTTCTCGCGCTATTGTTTTAAAAAAGAATTTATTTCAGGCCATATTTTTGTAAGATTAGACTGTAAGAGTGTAATTGATATTATATATTGTTATAGCTAGGCCTAGCTCCATGGTCATTCTACAAGAAACAATTTAATTTGGCACTGGCCATAAAACCTGCATGTGGGTATACTACCGTCAAAATACAGTTTTTGTAAAATAACAACAAAATATTCCTGAATAACGTTTTTGTGATATAGGTATTTCAACTTGAAGCAAAAGTGTTAAATTTATTCACGATGATATTAATTTGGACAAATGTTAAAATAGATAAACAGCAAAATATGAGGCGCTTAACGAGTTTAAAGGTAGGGTTTGATAGAAATTCAACGAGTTAAATAAATGTTCACTTTATTAGAGAAACTCTAGGACTTCATTGACCCCTTGAGATCCACAGGATCCGGAGCGATGTACCGACTACTCAACCCTCTCCATGAGTCTGTGCGCTGGCTGGGTTTATCAGGAGAGAGAGGATCGGGACGGGACGGGACGGGACGGGACGGTACGGAGAGATGGGGCGAGATGGGGCGAGATGGGGCGAGATGGGGCGAGATGGGGCGAGATGGGGCGAGATGGGGCGAGATGGGGCGAGATGGGGCGAGACGGGACGAGACGAGACTGGACGACGAGACGGGACGACGAGACGGGACGGGTCAGTGATGAAAAACTATCGTTTCTCTTTAGCAGGGATTCCCACCTTAACCCAGCATCAACCCTTTGAAAAGATAAATTTGCTTCATGGACCCCTTTGTCATTTTCCACTAATATAAATCACACAAAATAATCATAAAACAAGAATTTGCACATATACGACTTAATAACATTACATAGACAAAGCATATGAACAAAAGTTTGGAAATCAATGGCGTTTTAGGTGAATATTTAATTATTTTTTGTACTATTAAAATTTTCCCTTTTTAGAAATATAAACAAGTAGCTAAATTAGATGTTCTGAAACTTTATGTAAGAAAACAATAACTTCATTTATATTTTTTGTAATCAATAGGATCTTTATGAGACAGAACATATGTCGGTATATATTCGGTTTTCGATCCCCAATTGACCCTTGGATCATTAACTCCCTTTAAAAGTATATCGACCCCCCAGGGATTCGGTACCGACCGCGTTGGGAAACACTGCTCTATGGGTGGGGTAAAGAGCGGTGCAGCGCGGCAGCGGAAAATGTTTCAGGCCTCCGCTTTCGCCGCGTCAGCGCGTCGCCAGATGGCAGGGCGGTCGCCGGCTGTACTTAATTAAAAGGCGTTGGGCCGGCAGAGGGCACTTTATTTCGCATTTTACGCAACCTGGTACGCAACGCTGTGACAGGGGAGCGGAAGGATCGAGGGGATGGGGGAAATTACGTACGTGGGGAGTTACCGGGAGTACCTACCGAGATGTAGGAGGAATAAAACGACGTGTGGACCACAATTATGCTTGTGTTATACTGTAAAGTTATGTGATGTTATGTACAATTATTGTGGCGCTAGGCACTATTATTGCAGTTTTGTGCTGTCTTAATACGGCGTTATGTTACATTTCATGTGGTGTAATCGGAAAGCGAAGGTCGGAGAACTGCCAAAAAGTGGTTCGCTTTACTATGATGGTGATGAATATTTAATGTTTACTTGTACTGAAGAAAAATGGAGAAGACATAAGAGAACAGAAAATAATGAATGAAATACCGAACGAGAGAAGGGAAAAGAACGAGAACAAGTAATAAACAGTCGTAAGAGCAAAGTTAAAAATGCTTTTAAAGAAATAACTTTGGGGACTAGAAACGTTTTTCTAATGAAAATTGTGTATTATATTTTATGATGTGAAGCGGCAGTGACGGCACCCAGTGTCATCATTCGTAAGTTCAAAGACGGTGAATACAGGAGTCCAAATTACGTTGTGTCGCTGAGAGCGAATTTGGTTCCATTTAATACATTCCCAGCAACACATTTTGCAGGTGAGACATCGGGTATCCAAGAACCCTGAATGTAACGCGCCAAAAATAGAAATTGAAAATCGACATTCTGTAAATATTGAGTTAAGAAAATCAAGGTATGATATATGCATTTTCGCTTGGTTTCTAGACACAAAAATAGAAATAAACATTGTTGACGAGGAACTTGATTTCTGATTGTGAATGCAGCAACATATTTTAACAAATTATGATTTTTTGAATTTTACTTGAGGAATATAAATATAAGTTGTTCATGATTCACTTTGGTTTCTGATTGATTAACATATACGATATTTTGTGGTGTGGGAACTGTGATTTTTGAATTAAACTTTTTACGTGACAAAACATTTGGAAAAATGAAAACGTGCCTTGGAAAATTTCAATGAAAAATGTTAATTTTCTTGGAAATTAATGAATTATTTTATTACGAGAAGAATGAAGAAGATGAAGATCACTCTACAATTGGCTTGAAATCGGGCAAGCAGAGGGACGAAAATTCTTAATGGCCGGTGTCAGTGATGGAATTTAACATTCCGCCGTTCGTTAAAAACAACGAAATTATATGAATTGAAGCTAAAATGGCGTATGTATACATTTATTTCAAGAAATGGTATGTCTTGTTCCTACGATTTTTCTTGTAAGAAGATGGTAATACGAAAAATATTGAACGACACAGGCCGACATTGATAACACAAATAACGGACCTCGGGTATCGCCGCGGTTTACCAACTTCAACAGTATTTCGTCTGTATTTGCGCAAGAACTAGAAACCGGGAAAATAAGTAGTACAAAACGGAAAAATATGTACATAAATATGTAATGAAAATCATAACAATAAGTAATAAACACGTATATACAACACTTAATATCAAACTACGCTCTTATTTAAAGAACATTTAGATAGAAGATAAAATTAATCAATTGAAAATTATATTAATAAAATATTTATTAAACCAATTTTAAAAATAAATAAAAAATGCTTGACCTACTACTTAATTTCTTTAATTGTACATTTTTGTTTGTATGCAATGATAACCATCGTTCAAACATGGAAACTCAATGACTGGCCAACAATCACTGTAGCATTGCAATCGTAGTGTGTAACGTCTGCGACAAATTGGTTTGAATCCAGAAACTCGATCACTGATAATATTCACACCTAAAAATAATACTCTGTGTCCGCGCTTTCTTGTTGCAACATACAGCAGTGCAGTCGCAGGTTAACCAAGACACACGTGCGCCTTCATTTGGGGGTATCTCGCGCCGCGTCACGTCGCGTCGCGTCGCGTCGCGTCGCGTCGCGTCGCGTCGCGTCGCGTCGCGTCGCGTCGCGTCGCGTCGCGTCGCGTCGTGTCGTGTCGTGTCGTGTCGTGTCATGTCGTAGCACGCAATTGATTGAATAACAGAGATTTGAAAAATGTGTAAAATATATGCTAAATATGTAATATAGTACAAACTATGTAACGAAAAATGTGAACGTAACGAAAAATGCACATTGTGAAGTAATTGCGATGATTCGCCCCCAGCACAATATTGAGAACTAAACAGACAAAATATATGAGGAGCAACTAATCAAAACGTATATTGTCCACTGGTGGGAAAAATGAGTTTGATATGAAATCATGTAGTTCTAAACGTTCCTGCTTTTATAATTTTTCAAAACGCATTTAATTTATTGTGTTAAAATGCGTGTTGAAGAATTCTGAAAGCAGGAATGTCCATTAAAAATACACGATATCATATCAAATTCAATTTTTTTCACCAGTGGACAATATGCATTTTGATTAGTTGCTCCTCATGTGTAATTAGATAAAAATCCGTTCTTATTTGTTAAAATTTTATTCGGTCTGAGCATCATAAAAAGCTTCGATTCATACACGTTTACTAAGCCAAAAGTACGGTTATGTTTTTAGTTATGATGTGACTGGGTTTCTTTGCTTCAACCGAGTCTGATTCGTGTGACATACCATATGCTTACATTCGTGTTAAGAGCGTGAATGCCGTATGCTATATAAAGTTACTAAAAATAACATATATAAGTTGACCATATGTATGACAACATGTAAGCTCCATTTTGTTGCTTTCTTGTTCATAAACGTGCTCAACATGACTCACCTTCTTCTGCCGCAGCTTGATGGCGAGCTTGAGTCGGTTGAGATGCATGCGCTCGCCGTGCTCGAAGGCGGGGCCCGTGGGGTCGTGGTTGAGCAGCACCTCCAGCTCGTACGAGCTGCGCGTGTGGTCCAGCAGCGCCGTCGCGAAGTCCTGGCACTGCTTGCGCAGCTCCTGTGCCACACAGTCACACGCGTGCGCTCGCGGGGGGCTCCAAGAACTTACATGCGTGGCCTTTGCCCCTGAATGGCAGGCAACCCATGCTTCGGGACTATGGTGCAAACCGATGGCAATGTTGGGAAGCAGTGGCGCCCGGTGGGTTTGCGTATTAGGAGGAACGGCATGTATGCCCGAACTATCACAGACATTTTACCTCTTCCATATGTTGCTTGAACGAGACAAACTAGTTGCACGTATCAGCATTTTAATTCTTGGCTAAGACAACTTTTACGTTGATAACAGATGATACAATTGTGCTCACGCGAAAATAAGAAATTAAAAAAAAATCCAGCAAACAAAACAGTAATTTATGAACCAGATGAAAGAGTCGGTATCCTTAGCTTAGCTAATAGCCACGGACTCCGCCGAACAAAACCCTAACAGGAGCACGCTGTCCCCACCCAACTCCCAGTATCTCCACTCTTCCTCAAGCTTCTATTGCCTGGCATGCACCAGCTACGGACGAACTCCCGATAGTCCACGATGCTAACTATTCCAAAAACATTTATCTTTCGCATAATCGGGCACTTAAAACTAAATTCGACATCAAAAATTGAGCTGGTAGTATGCACAAATTAAACGATTCGACTTATTGAAAATTTAATATTTTCTTCAACATTTTCCGAGGTTGGTTTTTCTGAGGAGAACCTCGCCCTAGAGCCCTTAAGGAGCAGCCACCATTGTTGGAAAGGGGTTCGCTCACAGTTTTTTATACAAAAAAAGGCCATTACATTAGGCATTTGTGACATTCGTGATTTCTACAAACCTAGTGCTTTCCCTCCTTTGCAAACGCCTCCGCACGAACGCATACATGCTGCGGCGCGGCACTGTTTGTAGAATGTTGGTCTACCACGCCACGATTGCTGATTTTACTAATAACCGACGGCTGTGAGCCTTTAATGAAAAAACAGCTCATAAAATTCCCTACTAGCTGTCTTTTGTATTCAGCAGTAACCACAGCAAACCGCCTTCCGTCGGTGTTCGAATCAAAATATTGATATTTTCCCTCATTCTGCCGTTTGCGCGCTTTTCAAGTTTTCGTTTCATTCCTGTGCGCGGCGTATTAATTTTCGCGTTCTGCAACAAACGTGCTTTTTCACGAAAGCGTTTGAAAGAGCTCAAACTTCGCGATTTCTCACAACCGCCAATGCATTCACATTCGCTTTTGTACGCTCGGCGGAAATAAATGAAAAAGTGACGCTTTCACTTCAAAGTGTAAAAATTGTGACGTGAAAACATAGAAAGTTCCAAAATATTGCGATACTGAAAAGCTAAGATAATGAGTTCAATGAATATTTATTTATTATTGGCGATGAACGATTGCCTGGACACTTTAATATACTTATTTTTGAAACTGAAAATATCTGCACAATTATAAGATGTGGTTGGCCGAGGTGGCTAGCAAGAACGAGACTGCATCAAGAGAGATCTTCACAGCATTGGGAATGGATGAGATTTGAAAGAGTCTGAGGATTCAACAAAATAAAATGATCATATAGAGTCAGATAAAAGATAAGTTGAAAACAGAGTTTACCAACAGATTGAATACCATACTCAAGACCTCCCTCAACTCTCGTTATCTTACAACAGCATTTAATACATATGCCATACCCGTGATTACTTACTCACTAAGCATTATAAAATAGACCAGAACCAATTTGGACACATTCGATTGAATTATCAGAGTCCAAAAGACTCGGTTCAAATGCCAGCATCCAAAAAGTTATATACAAAGATAATACTACCAAGGAAACTGGAGGTATCTTAACGATTGGTAATTTCCATGCAAAACTAATGACGAGCATAAAATAGTTTTAATTAGAAAGCCTTGTCATCTCTGCTACACAGAGTAATACAGCAAGTAGACGAGAAATATACACCCCTCAACCTTAAACAGCAAAATGTATTACACGAACAATCAACACAAGCCGAGGAGTTAGAAAAATGAAAACAAAAAGCACTTCATGGAAGATATCCTACAGAAATAGCTATATCAAATATCGACGTCTGTTTGTCGTACAAGTCGCTGAAATAGGATATCTGTACGCAAGACTGAAGCATTCTTGATAGCAATCTAGAACCAGGTAATTGTGACAAGATATTATCTGAAACACATTATTAAAGACTCAGGAAGTGCCGTCTGATTTCTGCCGGGCTTGTGGTGTAGGCCACTAAACAATCCAGCACGTCAGTAAAGATTGCAGTATGTTAGTCCCAACGGATTATAAACAGAGGCACGATATGATATCACTAATCATCCTCGCCAAACTTGCAAGGAAATGTGGATTTGCTGGTGAATTTGATACTCGCTTCTACAAGTACCATCCACAAGATGTCATCGAGAACATCTATAAGCCATTCTGGGATCGAAGCGCACCGACAGGTAGCACAGTCCATTATAATAGACCGCAAGTGATACTCTGTGATACATCTCAAAGAAAAGTATGGCTAATAGTTACAGCCGTTGTAGATACCAGCAACCTCGACTCAACACACCAAAGGAAAATTCAAAATACTGCGAACTAGCACACGTAAAGAAGCAGTAGCATGTATTGGATATAGACTCCCTATCGTCCTCTCAGCAACAGGTGTGATATCTATCGTTCTGCAGCACTCTGAATACACTAGGGATCGAGACGAACTTTATCATCAATCTACAGAAAGCCGTAATCCTTAGCACGTGTTTTTTTAGTCAAAAGATTAATGGGCTCTTAAATAAATGAATGTGTTAAATAATTATTTACTTTTTAATTTATAAATTAATTTAAGTGTTTAAATTTCTACTGGTAGAATTGTTTACCTTTTAATTAGTATTTAATAAATTCGTTTAATAAATAATAAATATAAATTTGTTAACAGTACTGTACTAGGGAAATAATGCTTTGATATAAATATCTCCTGAATCATGTACCAGAAAGCTGTAAAAAATTAAAAAAAGCGATATTAATAATAAAGCGAGCGAAGTGACTGAGTCCGGTGCGCGTAGACTTCACAGCCGCTGACGAGCACTTTCCGGTACTGAAATTACTGGCGCGCCGGACTGTAAGAACATTACGCGACTAGTAAGGGTATATAAGGTACACTTGGAGTAGACAGCACGCAGTAATAATGTAGGAGAGAATGCTGATTTTCTGACAATTCTTCTTTTCATACAAAAATATGTAATAAAATTGAAGGGCTCAGTAGAACAAGAGGATACCCCACATTGAAATAATTCTGAGATGATGAGAATTTCACCTGAACTTCCCTTACATAACTCAGTACATTTGTAAACTTTTAATCACAGTACACTTTCATATAAGTATATACTGGATTTAAATAACAAATTACACTAAAATAATATTATTCGAAGTTTTATATAACCGCCTTTAATAATGCATTTCACAAAAAATTCGGGATATTCCCCGTTATTGACCCTTCCATTGAAGGAAATTTATAAAAAAAGATTGTGGAAAACATCAAAATAGGCAAAATATGTGTAATATAGTACTAAACATTTAAAATATGTTAAAGAAAAACTTGCTGTTGTTGTTTAAGACAAATCACCAAAAAGAAATTTGAGACCCAAATAGAAAGAAAAAAAATCGTAATACATAAAAATCCGGTCTTCTACTAATGATTATCGCACAACTAAATAAAACTGTTGCGCCGATAATGTCCACGCACGCCGAAGTGAAGGCGAGGGCCGCTCCCTTGTCATGGCGGGCAGCGCTCGTGTCAAGGAGAGCGCATTCCCCCCCCCCCCCCCAGGCCAACGTCTACTCCGTCTCGCTCTCCATTTAATCGTTAACTTGTCCCGCGGACGCGACAACGACACGTCGCCCGCCCCTTCCGCGCCCTCTCCTCGGACCACGCCAGCCTGCGGCGCAGTCACTTCCTCTTCTGCCTGGGACGACTCGAACTTTGGCGGCTATTCTTCCTGACTCCGGCCCGCCCTCCGCGCGCCTCCTCCGGTCCACTGGCAGCCTGCGGCGGCAGTCACTTCCTCTTCCTTGCCTGGATGACTCGCTTGCGCATATACTTCTCTGACTGCCGTCGCCCGCGCACCTCCGCGGCCCCTCCAACCGGTCCACGCCAGCTGCGCGGCGCAGTCACCTTCCTCTTCCTGCCTTGACGACTCGTTTGGCGCATATCTTCCTGACTCGTCGCACGCTCCTCGCGCCCCTCCTCGGACCACGCCAGCCTGCTGCGGCAGTCACTTCCTCTTCTGCCTGGACGAACTCGTTGGCGCATATTCTTCCCCGACTCCATCGCCCGCCCCTCCGCGCCCCTCCTCCGGACCACGCCACCTGCGGGGGCCAGTCACTTCCTCTTCTGCCTGGACGACGTCGTTTGGCGCATATTCTTCCTGACTCGTCGCCCGCCCCTCCGCGCCCCTCCTCCGGACCACGGCAGCCTGCGGCGCAAGCACTTCTCTTCTGCCTGAACGACTCGTTTGGCGGGCATATTCTTCCTGATCCGTCGCCCGTTCTTCATCTCGCGCGCACAGCTTCCTCCGGACACACGCCAGCTGCGGCGCAGTCACTTCCCTCTTCTGCCTGACGACTCGTTTGGCGCATATTCTTCCTGACTCCGTCGCCCGCTCCTCCGCGGCCCCTCCTCCGGACCACGCCAAGCCTGCGGGGCGCAGTCACTTCCTCTTCTGCCTTGGAACGACCTCGTTTGGCGCGTATTCTTCCTGACTCCTCCGTTTGTGTTCGATGAATTTCTGGTAACAACGCTTTCCACTAATGCCCGTTTCCGTTCTATTACCGCCCTGGTCTTCATGTATTATGGTCTCGTTTTTTTCTTTCACTCAGTGCATTTCATCATGTTTTTTTGAGCACTTCAGGAAAACTTAAATCTTTCTGCTATGGTTTTAAGCTATTTCTTCTAATAAGCTGGTGTTTGTTTTCGTTTTTTGTTCTTTCTTCTCTAAACAGTCTCGTTTTCCAGTGGTTTATATGTTTCTCCTTTTTCTGCTACTTAACTACGCCACAGTTTTCACTTCTCTTTCCCTCCGTCCCCGATAATACATCCGCTATTCGGTTTGATATATTTTTATTTTCTTTTCAGTTGCGTAGGAAAAGACAATGTTAATTTCGCTGTCACTTACGTTCGTAACATCGCCAATTATTAATGATTGTGGATGAGGAATCAAATTTTATTGTTTGTATTAAAATACAGTAAAAGGCTTCAATGTGTGGAAATGTGTAATGACAACCTATCTGTTCAAATATGAACACAGTTCCGCAGTCCACGCAAACCTAAATACCACAGTACTAGCATTTCAATAATAGGCGTAACGTTGTCTAATTCGAAAAAAAGAATGGCTGGCCTTTTGGAGATTGCCGCATCGAGCCAATTTTTACCTGTAATTTTACCTCTCTGTAACCTTTTCAAGTGCAACCTGTAATTTTTCTATGATGTCTCTATCCTACTCTTGAGTAGCAACCTGCCTCTGAATTTTTTGTTTTGACTTTTTGTAGAAGGGCGGGCGTATTGTACAGGTCGGCTCTCAGCTTCGGCGCAGGTTTGTTCGGTCCGCATCGCCCCCAGTCTTCCGAATCTTTCCGCCAGTGCGCCCTGCGCCCCGGCCTCTAGCGCCTTGCGGAAGGCGTCGGCGTTGTCCGGCTCCGCCAGTGCGGTCTGTTTCACTCGACGCCCCCCGCGCCCCACCCACCCTGCCCGCCGCCCGCTTTTCGCCCCGTCCCTCCTCGCCACGCCACCGCCCCCGCCCCGCCCCGTCTCGTACATGGCCTCCCCCGCCACGCCTCGCCCCATCCGCCCCCGGCCCGCCCTCGCCACGCCCCCCCCGCCCCCGCCCTCCCTCGCCACGGCCCCCGCCCCCCCCGGCGCGCAGCGGCCGGATTCCTCGCAGTCGGAGTTGCGAGTTTGGCGAGACTTCGACCGTCCGGCGCGCGCCTGCTGCGCGCTGCTTGGAAGCCTCTGGAAAGGGAGGCCACAGAGCTTCAGAGTACTTCGACATTGCAATTCAATGAAAGGGCAAAGCCGATTGCGGGGTAGGGCAGAAAAAAGAACTATAACAAGCATAAAATTTGAAAATTAGTATATTATGCGACTAGTTCATAATGTTATGATTTATTGCATAAGTACGTGTTTGGAAAACTAGTGACATTTGAAGTGAGTTTTAAAATTCGTACGAATGTTGTTAAGCAACATTATAAACTAGTTGATACGCTATTTTTTGTATAACAGCATTATACATTTATAAAAAACCCTAAAGTAATTGTGGAAATAAATTTCACAAGTGGTTTTGCAGTTGGCAACAAAGTTCGTATTACGAAGTCAAGTAGGGGGAGGAATAGAGAGGACGGCATGTGAGGACGGGCTGGGGGACAGGTAGTGAGGTCAGATAACGAGTTAAGGGGGGAAGGTCGAGCTGTGTCATAAAATGTCACATATGCCATAAAATGGTAATTTATGAACGTTTTTTTTTGCAACGGAAAGATTCGTTTATATTGCTAGTATTCAAAAAATAACGGTTTCCACTTGATTCGATCTTGCGGAATATTGTCTACTATTGGTGATCTTCTAGTGGCAGTCTTTCAGTATTGTCTTCTTTCGTATGTCTTCTAGTGGTAATGAGTTTAACAACGAAGATTTTCGACCCATTCATATTTAAAGATGGAAATATATTTTTCATATTAACATTACAATAATGAACTGATACCGTTTCCTACTTGAAGTGTCTCGAACGTGCTAAGGGGGTAGAAAATCGATTAGCTGTTACTGAGTCAAGTATCTGACCAATTCACAAATTTAGCATCTATTGGATCAAAATAGGAGTTTGGAAGTAAATTAATAATATTAGAAAAAATTGAAAATTGTCCATTTTTACGGAATGCATTTATTCATAAACAGGTTTCCTAATTGCCCATTGAGTTTCATAGAATCATTTCCGTAAAATGAATTTTGAATTGTATCTCAAGAATATTAAGAAAACTACGAAAACATTCATAAATATACACTATTTCTGCTTTTACCTTGAACCATAAAATTGCGATGCATCTGTTTTAATTTGCAAAACGATGAAAAGAAAGAAGTTAACACGAATTTCGGAATGTCCTAATTTTAAGCATCCAAAGTAAATACTAGATATGACAGTGTGAAATGCAATTTACAATTACAAGGACTAGACAGTGTCGTGAAGGACTATTTCATTGTCCATTACTGTATCATAGAATTTCGATTTCATAAAATTATTGCCGAAACTATAAAAACGATTTTGAGTTTCTTTAGAAGATCATGAAGAAAATTGTATGCTTTTCGGTTGTATTGCGATATATAGAAACAAATTGTAAACTATTTTATTGTTTAATATATATATATATATATATATATATATATATATATATATATAACACATACGTTCTGATTAAAAATACAATACATTGTTTTTCGAATTTATCTTACCAAATGTTGAAAAAGTTTTAAACAACTATATTTATATTGTACAGTACATTTTTTGTAATTATTTGAAGTGAATATTAACGGTAAATAAAACTTCTATTACTTCAACGTTAGTATTAAAAGTCTCTATAGTAATGTCAGCTAAGTGCCCCATAAGATATTAATCCCGCCCGGCATGAACAATAAACACCTCATATATTCAGTTCATAAGTTTCTCAACACGTTAACAGCTGTGAGAACAAGAAAGGCATGCGATTAACACGATGTTCGACTTCCCATATGTCTCCTGGGAATCGAATCCTTCCCCTGGTGGCATACGCACGAAACATTTCTGACGAAGAACGCACCGCTCGGGACGTCTACTGGTGTTTAGGTTCGGGCAGACAGAGGCGCGTCGCGGCGCGGACACAGCATGTGGTTGCGGTTCCACATTCGGAACAGTCAAATAGCGCGCTGGACGGCGACCCGATCCAGCTGGTGCTCGCTCGGTGAGTCAGATGATTCTGTGCTCCAGTCTAGAGTTTAACACGGAGCATGCCAGTCCCATGTGTCTTCTGAAATACAGGGGGCTTCGCCTCCTGAATCGTAGCAGATATTTAGGCGCCGTTTTCAGTAAAACGAACGTATGTGAAAGGCACAAGATGGAGTATAATATTGAAATAATGCTTTTTTTTCAAATTTAAGAGATATCGACGAAGAGATATCGTCTTTTAAAAATAAAAAAGCTATTCCTCTGATATCGTGCGAAGGGGCTCAGTGCGTAGCGCGCTGACTTCACAGTCGGGAGGTCCGGGTTCGATTCCCGGGCCGGCCATCCTGATCGGGGTTTTCGTGGTTTCCCTCGGTCATCAGGCAAATCCTGGATGGTTCAAAAAGTCCACGATCACCTTTCACCAATATCCTATCACCTCCTAATCCAATAATAATAATAATAATAATAATAATAATAATAATAATAATAATAATAATAATAATAATAATAATAATTGTAATTGACAGCGGGAATAAAGCTGCTCGCTTCCATGGTCTACCACATGTGTGCCCCGGGAAACGCTAAATGAGCAACAGTGATTCGCCACCTACGCGCTTGTCCATTGTGGTCGTGCGGATCCCTACAAGCTGAGGGGAAAGTCTGCACGACTATATTGGTCGGCGCGTCACCAAATGGCTAACATGCCAAGGGTGGGCGTTGGCTAAACAAAACAAACAAACATTCCTCTCATCTCAATATCTGCAACGGTTCGGGATACATTCGAAGGGAACTTAATACGTGAGCCACCCTGTTTAGTTTAGTAGTGCTTTTTTTCAATGAAACGATCACATTAGGTATTCGAACAGTACAGTACCGTGTAAAGTTTTAAAAGAGTCAAGATCATATTTGTTCCAATGATTCTATTGAAGGTCTATTTTATATGTTCGAGTAATATGAATACTAGATATAAGATAACTGTACTGACATGAAATACAAGTTCAACAGACATAGTTAAAAAGATACCAGTCTGACACATAACATACTCAAGGACACCTGCGATAGAAGATTTCATAGTTCTGTGGACATATTTGGTTTTTAAATACGAAATATTTATTTAATATTTTGAGCTTCAAAATTGGAATTCGTTGAAAAACAATGAGGTGTATAGATAAAGAAAGGGATATTTTATGAATATTTTTATACAAAAATGTCTTTGAGGGCAATCTTCATTAGGAACGGAAATTTTGTTCCCAGTTGCGTCATAGAGCACGAAGCGAGGATGTCCATTTCTTTATAAATGATTTTCGGCCAATATCGAGCACGCAAAAGAGACTATAATGATAAGAAACGTTTGCGTACAGAAGCGACATCTTTCCTGAAATTTACATGTGAACTCCTGATCCACAAACGTAACTACGAATGAGGTAATTCAAACCTCCGTCAAGCTGCAACCCCCACTTGTTCGAAATTCAAAATTAACTAGCCTATAATTTTGTACT